ACTCAATATCAAAAGATGCCTTGCAAGATGAGACCCTGAGTTGGATTCCCAGGGCTGCCCACATACGCTCAGTACAGTCCCTGCAGCTCTGCCGTCTGGGAACCCGGGTGTGACACAATGTATGATCTCTGGTGTGTGCCAGCACAACAGCTTAAACATGTGACCCTGAGTGAGCACTGCAATTGAAGCTGTGTGAGCAGCCACAGCCAGGAGCATGTGTATTGATGTTACAGCAAGCCCTGGCGAGTGCACAGAATGTGTGCACGCCCCACAGCTAAAGGGTCAGACCTCAACAAACATCATAATCAAGCATGCACAGCCCCTGGTCAACTCAACAGTTGCAAGGAAGGGAGGATGGAGAATGACACTTGCTAATATTAGAATGCAAGGAGGATCGGGCCGGAGAGATAATACTGTGGGGAGGGCGTTTGCCTTGCACGTAGTCGACCCAGGTTCAATCCCCAGCATCCCATATGGTCCCCCAAGCACAGCCAGGAGTAATTCCTGAGCGCAGAGCCAGGAGTAACCCCTGAGCATGCCGGGTGTGGCCCTAAAAGAAAAAAAAATGCAAGGAGGATCATTCCCCAGAAAGAAATGGGGAAGGGAAATGGCAAAAGCTGAAGCAGAGGAGACTGTGACTGCAATTCATGGGGAAAAAATTTAGAGTGAGCCAGCTGATTCCTTTATTTTTTAATTAATTAATTAATTAATTAATTAATTTCAGCTGATTCCTTTTAAAGAGCCCTTTTGTCTAAAAGTCAGTGTCCATTCCTTGGCCTAGTGTTTTTTAATCTCAAGGGTGAGTGGGAGGGGTCTAGAAGGGAGAGTACCAAGTGCAACAGTTGCTGCTTAGAGACAGAAGGAGATTAAAACCAACAACAAAAAAAAGCTACTTTCTTCTCCTATTCTTTCCTTCCTCTGCCAAGGAATTGTGGTCTCTGGAAAACTTTGCCCCTAGCAATTGAGTGAAATCTGGAATTGGTTCTGCCAGTTTTCTGGTTCTTTCCAGATAACAAAAGATCTCCAGACATTGGATCCCATTAGCAATCTCATTTCTGTTAAAATTTCCAGTTCTGTGCAATTATCAAACCTGAGAATTCCATTTGTCTTCATGAAGACCCAAAGAGTGCGGAAGTGTGTGGTCAGCTGCTTCTCTACTTTCTTGCCAAAAATATTCCTTTGTAGGCCAGAGAGAAAAGAGGCTGGAGTGTATGCTTTAGACACTGGCATCTGGGCTTCTATCCCTGGCACTACATGGTGCCCTGTGCACCACCAGGACAGAGCTGGGAGGAGCCTCCAACACCACTGAGTGTGGGACCCCCAAAAGTTCTCTAAGCCACAGGATTGCAGTCTCCCTCAAGATAGCTAACAACATTTTTCTGGAGCTCCTTAGCTGGGGGATATGGCCAGAAGGGAAAGGAGGTTCTAGAAAAGTCCTATTTGCTTGGTATAGCTCCTTGTTGTACTGAAGAGGGAAACTTATAGAGGCTTCCTAGATTTTTTTGTGCATTGTTTTACCATATTATCTAGGATAAGCTATGATGCAGCTTCAGATTAAGTAAGTAAAAGCCAAAAGTCTTGCAGATTTAATATACTTATAGCTCCCTGGAGGTAACACCGCCAGTTATGCAGAGTCACTGGGAATAAATCTGGGGAGGGTTCCTGAGGCAAAACAAAAGCCAGGAGCTGTGCTTTCTGTAGGATGGAAAGGGCTAGGTCAAACTGAATTAAAACGAACCCACTTGTGTAGATGTACCAAAGTTTCTTTAACCAGTTATCTGTTCTTGGGCACTCAGGTGTTTTCCAGATTCTGATTCCAGATTCCAGATTCCAGAGTGCTGCAATGAGGCCAACCACACATGATAGGGGAAAAGGGAGCTCAGATAGAGAAGGGAGCACCAAATCAAGGGTGTTGGGAGGATCCTCCCAGGATGGGAGAAGCATGCTGAAAGTAGACTATAGACCAAACATGATTGCCACTCAATGCCTCTTTTGCAAACCACAACACCCAAAAGGAGAAAGAGAACAAAAGGGAATGCCCTGCCACAAAGGTAGGGTGGAATGGGGGGGATGGGGGGTGGGAGGGATACTGGGACCCATGGTGGTGGGAAATGGGCATTGGTGGAGGGATGGGTATTTGATCATTGTATAATTGAAATCCAAGCACAAAAATTTGTAAGTCTACAACTGTACTTCATGGTCTTTCACTAATAAAAATTTTAAAAAAAGAAAGAAAAAAATGAACCCACTTGAATAATTTCTGTGCGCTCAAGGACACAGGAACTGTTCCTGGTTGTCTGGAATCTGGCTCTGGGATGATAGTGCCTGAAATTTAGAAAAAGTCTGATAGGAGAGTTGGGTGCGGGGGGGGGGGGTGAAACTAATTCACTGCCTACGAAGAAAATGGGCCTGTAGCCAGGGTCTCGAAACTAGGTCAGGACAGCTTGAAAAGGAAACAAAATGAAACTCTGCTAGAAGTGCTGTGGAGACCCTGAACCATAGACACTGGCTCATCTGCAGTCCCCTTACTATGCACACACCCTATTTTGCTTCCCAGGGAACCTTCTGCCCCTTTCTGCAAGGTATGAAGCCTCTTGGCTTCTTCTAGGAAGCTCTCTTAGGCAGGGTTCCTCTAAAGAAAGCTTGGAGTACATTAATAGAACTGTACACGAAAAAAAAAATCCAACCCCATCAAAAATGGGGAGAGGAAATGAACAGAAACTCCCTCAAAAAAGAAATACAAATGGCCAAAACGCACTGAAAAAAAAAATACTCTACATCACTAATCATCAGGGAGATGCAAATCAAAATAACAATGAGATAACCTCTCACACCACAGAGACTGGCACACATCAGAAAGAACAAAAACAACCTGTGCTGCACAGATATGGGAATAAAGGGACTCCCTTTCATTGTTAGTGGGAATGCTGACTGGTTCTACCTTTCTGGAAAACAACATGGGCATTCCTCAGAAAACCTAGAAATTGAGCTTCCATATGACCCAATAATACCATTTACTTGGGGTTCAAAAAAGCACAGTAGAAATGACATCTGCATCTATATGTTCATTGCCGCACTGTGCACAATAGCCAGAATCTGGAAACAACCGGAGTGCTCAAGAACAAATGACTGGTTCTACACAAAGGAATACTATGTACCTGTTAGGAAAGATGAAGTCATGAAATTTGCTTATAAGTGGATGGTCATGGAGAGTATCATGCTAAGTGAAATGAGTCAGAAAGAAAGGGACCGACATAGAATGACTGCACTCATTTGTAGAATATGAAATAACATAATATGAAACTAACACCCAAGGACAGAGACATAAGGGCCAGGAATATTGCTCCATGGTTGGAAGTCTGTCTCATGAGCTGGGGGAGAAGGCAGCTGGGACAGAGAAGGTATCATTAAGACAATCTTGGTTGGAGGGATCGCTCAGGATGGGAGGTGTGTGCTGAAAGTAGATAAAGGACCAAACATAATGGCCTCTTCATATCTGTACATATCTGTATTGCAAACCATAATACTCCAAAGGAGAGAGAGAGAGAGAGGGAGAGAGAGAGAGAGAGAGAGAGAGAGAGAGAGACAGAGAGAGAGAGACAGAAGGAAATTTGTTTTTTGGGTCACACCTGATGATGCACAGGGGTTACTCCTGGCTCTGCACTCAGGAGTTACTCCTGGTGGTGCTCAGGGGACCATATGGGATGCTGGGAATCGAACCCAGGTTGGCCGCGTGCAAGGCAAACGCCCTACCCGCTGTGCTATCTCTCCAGCGCCCATGAAAACTTTTTTAATTGTATCTCAATTTAAAAAAAAAAAGAAAGCTTGGAGCTGGCTCACACTGGATTCAAGAGGACAGGAGCAGTGGCAAATGGGACTAGGTGAGCCAGGTGAGGAGGGTATATATATATATATATATATATATATATATATATATATATATCAGAACCAGGCCATATAATAGGGATCAGGCCTACAGTAAGGAATGAGGCACTCACCTCTCTGGTAGAACCGAAGGGCGTGCCACATAATGCAGAATTAAGATAAAGTGTTTGATGCAACAGTTCAAGACCATTTTTTTTTTCCTTTTTGGGTCACACCTGGCAATACACAGGGTTACTCCTGGCTTTGCACTCAGGAATTACTCCTGGCGGTGCTTAGGGCTGGAGGGCTGGGAACCGAACCCGGGTCGGTCACGTGCAAGGCAAACACCCTACCCGCTGTACTGTCACTCCAGCCCCTTCAAGACCATTTTTTTTTTAATAGAGTGGTTAGGGTGCACATTTTCCATTTGCCTAAGGTTCCAACATGGCTCTGCAGGGCACTGTGCTGTGCAATCACAGCTTCCAGTTACCACCGTCCAGATGGTTCTCCTAGTTCAGTCCCACCCAGACGGACTAGAGCAGCTCCCAGCAGAGGCCTCTGGAGGAGACAAAGCCTTTATCTGAGATGCGAAGACAGAGGCGAGGCTAGGCTTGCAGGAACGGGGGCGCACACAACTGAGTCCAAACCTCCGGCTAGACTGGGGGTGGGAGGGGTGCAGGAGGGGAGAGAAGGTTGTCGCCAGCGACCCGATCAAGCGGGGTTCCCTAGAATTTCACCTGGAGGGAAAACTTGCCCACCTGACTTTCTCCCGGCGGGCGGAGGGTGTGGATACTTAGACTAGCGCAGTCCCCAAGGGAGGGGCGACTCTATCCCAACCCGACAGGTGTTGGCACAACCCCAGGTCCACGTCCGGGCCTCAGTTTCCCGCACTGAGGGTGGGGCGGCACCCGAACAGGGTCCCCACGCCGAGGTCCCGGCTGAGCACCGGGGCGCGGTTGGCGCCGAGGGCCGAGGTGCGAGCGGGGCGGTCCCGCGGGCGGCCGGACCCGCTCAGCGCCCAATCGCCGCGGGCCCGCCGAGCCCCGGGGGGCCGGGGCCGCCGCCCGAACGTGCCGCGGCTGCGCCGACGCGCGAGCGCCTGGCAGGGCGGCGGGCGCGCTCAGTCTGGCGGCGGCGGCCGTGCGCGGACGGACGTGCCGGGAGCGCCGCAGCCGCCCGCGCCGCCCGCAGCCCCGCCGCACCGCTGCTCCCGGGCCGCGCCCGCCCGGCGCTCGCCATGGTGTCATGGATCATCTCCAGGCTGGTGGTGTAAGTGGCCGTCCTGCCCCGCGCCCCGTCCCTGCGCTCGTCCTCCCCGGGCCCCCGCGCGCCGGGCCCCGCTCCCCGCGCTATTAATACCCCGCTGCCGCGGCTAATTTTAGCAGGTACAGTAGCTGCCCGGACGCCGCGAGCGGGCGGCGCGGGACGCGGCTCCGGCCCGGCCCGGCCCGGCCCGACCCACCCGGGGGCGCCCAGCAGCCGCAAGCGCGATCGGGGGTCCGGGGCGCACCGGGGGATCTGCTGGGGCGAAGGGGAGCAGGGGGTGGGGGCGTCTCTCCGCGCTTCGCTCCCTTTGTTCCCCGGCTTGATGGAATGCGCAGCGGCCCCCGAAGGGCGCGCCGCGGACACACGCGTCCGTGTCCTCCGGGAGAAACGCTGGCCGGGGTGGTGCGTCGCTTTTTGTCGGGTGGACAGGACAGATGAGCCTGGGGCGCTGCCTGGAGGGCGCAGCGCCGGGATGGGTGGAGAGATGAAGGCGGGGCTCCCCGTGAGGACTGGAGGGGAAAAACCCCTCCTATTTCTTTTTAGGGTTTCCAAATTGACAGCGGCAAGGGCAAGACAGGGAGGAAGACAAATAGGAATTTTGGTGTACACTCCTCGCGCCCCTTTTCTCCCCCCACCCCACCCCCACCTCCCAGGCTGATTCCTTTGGTGGGATTTTGAGGGGAATCGGGCATCTTCGAAAATTCCCGATTTGCTAGAGCTGAGAGCAGCCGGCGGTGGTGACGCTGCCTGCCTCCGGCCTTGCAGAAGAGCGCAGTCATCTGGGGTGAGGCCGGTGTGAAGTCACCGGGGTTCACGGAAGGGAGGGGGGCGTTTTCCCTCACCCCCACTAACCCTCCCCCCCAGCTGAGGAATCTTCTTTGGGAAGCCTCATTCCTGGGGTGGATTCATTCCTTTGGGGAGGGTTCGGAGCTCAAGGCCACTGCACCCAGATCTCTCTCCCTTGCAGGGAGTCTCGCTCAGTCTGACAAGGGTCGCCACCTACAAGGGGCTGCAGGCGGGGCGCTGACATTGGTTGGGGAAAGTGGAAGCTGGGGGTGCACCTCAGCTTTTTCCTTTGTCTGGAAAGGACTCCTGCACCATCGCGGCCCCCGTTTAGCAACCCCACCCATCTCCTTTCTTGGTCGGGAGTCGCAGGCTGACTAGGCTTTGTCTCTGGCCACCCTCTGGGTCCTCCACATCAAGCCAGAATGACTGTGGCCCTCAGACCCCAAGTTATTCATCTCGAAGGCCTCTGCACAGCTGTTGTTGCCTGCTGGGGTTTTTGGCCTTGCCTTAAGATGGCATGTCACAGATTTCAATTTCTGCGGGCAGAGCTGGCATGAACAATACAGGGGAGCTGGCCAGCTTACCGAACCCCTTGCCCAGCCAAGCCTGCCTTTTCTCTAGTGCTGCTCTTTCTCCTGGAGTCTTGCTGTGGTCTTCATGTTTCCCAGTGACTTTGAGGTGGGAGCACGTTTTTGGGGTGCAATGCAGTGTTTCCTTATCCTGGTTGGAGAACTCTCTCTGTGTGGGCCCCAAGATTGAAGGGGCAAGGACTTCTGAGCTGGGGTCTGTGTGACCACCTTGATTTTGATCAACATTCCCCCACTTCTGTACAAGACTGGGAATGGTGAGGAGAGGCAGAGCATAGTAGGGATATCATGCTAATTTTTCTTTATCTTGGGGAGGGGAGACGGGGGTGGGGGGCTCCCAAGCATTGCTGAAGAGGCCCAGAGGCCCCTCCCTGGGATTCTCAGTTCACACCACCCAAACATGCATTGCAGCTGGGGCACACTCTGCAGTGTTTAAACCACCACGTGGTGTGGGGGATCAAACTGGGTTAGTGCGTTCTGGCATGTGCTGTAGGCCCTGTGCTGTTTCTCTTGCCCCCTGCCACTGCTTTCTAAAACAGAGAATCCCAAGCTGATTTGGCTTACCTCTGCCTGTTCAGAAAAAGGAGAAGAAAATAAGAGTTACTAAGCATCTCTCTGGGAATCTACCTTTAAAAGGGCAAACAGAAAGCACCCCCCCGCCAGCAGCCCTCAAGGCTGGATAGCACCCCTCCCCTGGATCAACCCAGCACCCCTGCATGGAAGATGGCGTAGCCCACTTTGGAAAAGACCTGCTCTCAAACAAGGCAGAAGAGAGACTTTAGAGAATCTAGGTGGCGTGAGAATCAGGGCTCTGCTCCAAGGTTTTGGGTTGGGGGGTTGTTGTTTTCATTCATTGCCAACTGTAGAAGAAATACCATGTCCCTGCCCAAGCCTGGTTTCTACAGAAACTTAACATGGACATGTCCATTGTGAATTATGGAAAGCATTTTTAATATGCAGTGTCCATTTCACATCATTAATACTTGTCCATTGTAGGAGAATCAAAAAATTCTAGAAAGACTCCAAGGAGGAGATGGAGCGATAGCACAGAGGGTAGGGCATTTGCCTTGCACGAGGCCAACCTGGGTTCAATTCCTGGCATCCCATATAGTCCCCTGATCATGGCCAGTAGTAATTCCTGAGCGCATGAGTCAGGAGTAACCCCTGTGCATCGACGGGTGTGACTCCTCCCCCCCCACCCAAAAAAGACTCCAAGGAATCTTTTTTATTTACCACAGATAGCTCGCCATATTTTGAGAGATATATTCAAGATGTTTTTCCTGCCCATCGATGCACACAAACTGACACTGACCATCCGTGGCAGTTTTCAGTTCAGCCCAGTGCCTTGTGTCTCATAGGGAAGGTGGGATAAATGCTGGAAACCTAGAGCCCTTGGTTCAAATCCCAGTTATGTCTCTTTCCAACAAGTCTCAGTTCACAATGCAGATCCTGAGCTACCATTTACAATCTAGTTAGCCTCATGCTAGTGCAGCAAAAGTTTCAATGGAACACAGTAGATAAATTGCTCAGCACCACAGTGAACATTCCTTGCTTTGTTTCTCCCTTTGGTACCTAGAGAGGGTGTAAGAGCTCTGGAGGGAGCTCTCAGACTCAATCTTTCCTGCTGTTTTCAAACTAGCTCTTCTATTTTCTTTCTGCTTGTTTTGTTTTTTGTTTTTGTTATTGTTTTTGGGTCACACCCAGTGATGCTCAGGAGTCACTCCTGGCTCATGCACTCACAATTACTCCTGGAGGTGCTCAGGGGACCGTAATGGGATGCTGGGAATCTAATCCGGGTCAGCCGCATGCAAAGCAAATGCCCTACCCGCTGTACTATTGCTCCAGCCACAAACTGGCTTCTCTGAAGACTCAGTCCAAGTGAGTGAGCCCTGAGCTCTTCAACCCTGATTCAACACCAGCAACTGCCACTTTGTTTTATATATGGTATTCATCTATTGCAGTTCTAGATGATGTAGTATTTGGAAAAATATGGACCGTGTGCATGTGTAAGTGTGCATGCACTTCTCTCTCTCTCTCTCTCTCTCTCTCTCTCTCTCTCTGTGTGCGTGCATGTGTGTGTGATGAACCGTAGGTCTCTTATATGGAAGGCATGGGTTTTTGTCTCTGGTCCCTGGGTGTGGTTTTCTGCTACTAGATCTAATGATCTTGCCCTCCCCACTTGTCTGTAATACGGAAGCGAGCATCAGCTCTGCCCAAGAACACAAGGTGAGCTGGTGAAGAATGCAGGTTCTGGATTTTTGGTTTAATGCCCTTTCTACCTTTGCCAGGTTTAATGGTTGTCCCAAATCATCCCTTTTTAGCATTTTAAGATCTCTGGTATGCAGTCTTAAAATTCTGTCCCCATTCCCATTCCCTGGTAACAATCTGTCTAGGGTTTTGTAAGTCTCTGTTGTTTTGAAGGACATTTCAGAAAGACCTATGACTGTGTTCTGAGGATGGGGAGGGCATGTCTTCCTTTCAGCCAGAAGCCTACTGTCCAGGGGTTGTGAGGATTGGTGTCACCAGTGGCTGGGAATACTTGGGAGGCAATGGTGGCATGGGCCCTTCCCAAGCCTCTTTGTTTGAGTACTTGGCTGCTGAGTGTGTGACAGTTGTGCTGAAACAGGCCTGGGGAGAGGCAGGAGAAAGAACCTGGTGGCACAGGTCCCTGGGATGGGGATTAGGGATCCTCAGGAGAGATTTGTGTCTGCCAGGCAAAGGTCACAGAGAGAGGATCACTTTGAAATGCTGCTTTTTTGCTTGCATTCTTCCTTACTCTCTGGGCTCAGGGGAGATACTCAGTGTAGTACCAAGGTTGGCCTTGTGAGAACCTGCTTGATGCCTCTCTGGAATGTGGGGGCTCATTTACAAGTGACTTTTCTGCCTCTCTTATTTTATTTTGTGAGCCAGAGAGATAATATAGAGGTTTAGGAGCTTGTCTTGTAAGAACCCAACTCCTGTTCAGTCTCCAGCATGGCAAACGGTCTTCCAAGTATTGCCAGGAATGACCCCTTGAGCTCAGAGCCAGGAATCATCCCTAACCTTGTACCACAAGGTGTGACCTCCACAAACAAACAAAATATACTTTTCGGGGGGGGGCAGAGAGATAGTTAGGGATTAGGGTCAACCCCTAATTGTTCAATCCCTGGTACCATGTGATCCCCCAAGTAATGCTGGGGGCAGCCCTGGGTGCTCCTGAGCACCGTCAAGGTGACCAGGGTAATCTGCTCACTGCAGGGCCCAAGGAGCACCATATCCTCTGGGTTGGTTTGAAACACGGGTCTCATCAGTTGAGACTCACTGGGAAGGGTTTTCAGGCTTACTGAGAACTGCTGGGGAACTCCCCCACCTCTTTCAATATTTTATTTTCTTCACGAACAACTACAAAGGCCCCAGTGAATTTTGAACTGAGACAGTGCTCACACACAGGGTAAGAACATATGGAGGCTTCTCTCTGCTCTCTCGGGTCATTTCATCCTAAAAACAGGTGTGATTGTCTCAGGACAGAGTTTGGCAGAAGCCCAGAATATTGGCGAAATATATCCAGAGCTTCCACTCATGGGTTTACTAAAACCAAAATGGATTCACTGCATAAAAGAGAGAGTTCTGATTCAACAAATTGTCTACATA